TGTAACTTTACTAAATAAGTTACACTTATTTAACTTCACAAGGAAATTTGAACACTTTGGTCAAAGTCAATCGCTTTCATTTCTAAGTGAAAGTTGTTCAGCATGTGTGATACTATTTGCATATAAAATTTAATCTCGATTGGATTAATATTCGTATTTTAATATGTGTTTTTGTAACTTTATTAATATTGCTGACTTTTTTTTTTAACTTTATAAGATAATTTGATTACTTTGGTTAAAGTAAAAAGATTGAAATATTAATATCAGAGATCTTTTATAATATTAATGATCATTTTAATGATTATACAAATTATATTAATTATATTAAAGATCAAGTAATTTTTATAGTAAAAAATAATGATTTTAATAGTATTAATGAGTAAATTATCAATATTTTTTCTAAAGAATCTTAAGTATTCTTATCAGTAAATTTTGTTAAAAATAAATATTACATTTATTAAAATCTTTATCTTATAGAATTTATTTTAAAAATTGATTAATATTTTAATAGAACTTATTTCAAAGAATAAATTTATCAGTTTATTTTTTTTAAATTTATTTTTTAAGAGTTAAAAAATTTTAATTGTTAAATTTATATTATTGAATATAAACTTTCTACATTATATTAAAAAATTTTATAAAGTTAATTTATTTTTAATAAATAACTTAATTATTTTAAATTGTTTAAATTAATTTATACTAATTTAACTTTGTTAATTTTAAATAAATTATTAAAATTAAAAATTAAAAACTTATTATAAAAAATATTTATTTATAAAATATAAATTAAATTAATTTAAATTCAAATTTTAGTGTTAATTTATTTTTAATAAATCTATAAATTAATTTAAAATTTTATTTATAACTAGTAAATATTTTTTATTATATATAATTAAATACTTTTATAATGAATATATATAATTAAAATTTTCATATAAATACTTTTAAAAATATATAAATTAAAATAAATAATAAATAAAATTAAATAATATACTTTTAAAATATATACAAATTAAATAAATAATAAATAAATTAAAATAATATAAGTATTTTTAAATTATATATAGATTAAAATTAAAATAAATTAAAAATTTTTAAAAATTATATTTAAACATTTTTTTTTTAAATGCAATATATATAAATTATTTAAATTAAAGAATTCTTTATATACAATATTTTTTATATATACACTTGATTTATTTTTAATATGATCATCTTTAACTAATATTTTAATATTATTTTTAGATTAAACTTTTGATAAAATTTATATATAATTTCTATAAGAAAATATAAAATTTGACAAATATAATCCTATAAATATTATTGTTTAATCTTGAATATTTTGATAAAAGTTAAACAAATTAAAAATTGGTAACATATTAATTAAAATAGTAAATCTATATCTAATAAAGTTAATCTAATTTGAAAAATAAATATTCTTCTTTCAAAATATAAACCTGTTAAGATTTCTGCATTTATTATTTATTATTAAAATCTTTTAACAATTAATCTGACATCATTATAAAGTTATTCTTTTAAATTGATATTTCTTAAAAATATGATAGAAACTTTAATTTAAAGTATCAAATGATAAGAAGATATTCTACTTAGTGTTAATATATTTAAATATTTTATATATAAAATTATAGGCATTAAAAATTGGATAATTTATATATGATTTTTCTGAATTTGAATCATATATTATTGATTAAATTTATGATAATCCAAATTGAAATTATAGATTTTAAAATAATACATAAAAAAATGATTAATATCTTATTTTACATTGGTTAATTACTAATTATATGATATAAAATTCACAAAATTTTTGAAATATCATTGAGTTATGACTTATGATATTATATTAGATTTATAATTTTAAAATCTTATATTAAATTTTAAATTAAATAAAAATTAAATAAACATATCAAAATTATTATTATAGAAAGATTGATAAAAAAAAACAGATTTGAGAAATTTATAATATAAAAAATTACAATGTATTAAAAATCATAATTTTTAAAAAAATTTCACAAAATCTGATATATTTTTGTTTAATTATTTAAAAAGAAAATTTGTTTTTATATTTTTAAAATCAATTGATTAATTAGGATCATCATACTGTAATTAATTTTAACCATTATAATAATTAATTTGTATTAATTAGATATCATAATGATTTGATTATCATAATACATTTTATTATTATAATTAATTTTGGTCATAAAATTTTTCTTTTTTATACTTTTAACTAAGAAAATTTAGTAAACTTTTTTATATAATTTTTTTTCATAAATTTTAATTTATTATTATACGGTCATAGACGAATTTACGTTTTATCACTTCCTTCCCATTGACGGTTCCGCTTTTTCTTTTAGAATTAAATTGGTTTTTTATTTCTAAACGGTATAAGGTGATACAAAATTTCCTTCGGTTCGTTCATCACGTGATCAATTGATTTTTGATTACCTTTTATAGTAACGAAACTTAAGATTCAACTCATTTTTCTGATCAAACATTAAAATCGACAATTTCTTTTCTGTATTTTAATCGGAATGGAACATTAATGAAAAGCGAGGAGTAACTGTTACGATGGATGTTCATGACCGTGAAAAAAGGAGAGAATAAAAGACCAAAACTACACCTCGAAAATAAGTGAAAAAAAAATATATATCTTTGTTATTGAAATGTAGATAGAATAAGTTCTTCCGGTCATTCAAAACTTTAGTGGCATAGGTGATCTTTAGGCTTATTTGATGTTTTAAAACTTTAGGTCGAGTCAGTTTTGGACCCAATAGGGAACGGTCAATATTTAGGTTTTAGCTAATGTTTGGAAAATCAGATTGGAATTGAATTGATATATTAGTCAAATTCCTTTCATGCAGAGTAACCAACCTGATCATGGATTGTTAAGAAAATGGGAAGAGGATCGCTCGCATAAACATCAACTATTATAGAACGACCAGACCGATCGAGATTCTCCCAAACACCAAATATACGATGCGTATTACGATGAAACATGATTCTCTCCTTTCGAAGTAAACAAATTAGAAAGAGAATACTTCATAATGAGAGCTTTGCAAGAACAATTTCCCAAGCCATGACGGACGAAAAAAAAAAAAATGGCGGTTAACCACTTAAAAGATGGTTTAGGACCCCTTTTAAGAATTCGGAAAAGAATGCACCCAAGAACAGTCAATATCTTTGCTTTGTTCATATAATATTATACATTTATTTGTTTTATGATCGATCTGAAAGATAAAGCTTTCACAAAAGATGAATTGGAAGTAATCTGCACTTATAAGACCCTCCAATTACCAGAAATTCCGGGAGATATGCTTCGAATTCACAAAGGTACGTGTAGATTTTTGTTTATAATATTTTTGTTATGAGGAGCATTATTATTTTGATTGGTTTCAGTTATCTATGCATTCTATTGTTTAACAACGCAAAACAATATTATTCCATTGTTGTGAAGCGTACTAAATTTAGCGATATTATCAATAAAATCTTTAATTATTATATTTTTAGTTACATGCTAGGAGTAACAAATTTTTGACGCGTTTTTGTTATAATAAAATTTGATCGAAATATCAACTCCGCGTGTTATTAATTCATAAATTTCAACCTGAAACTTGATTTTCAATGAAATACAAACTTTATGTCAAACTAATATTCAATTTTTTGGGCCAATAAATTCGAAACCCAGTGTCACCATATAATAAATCCTTTCAATCATTCAAATTCAAATTGTAAATTTTATTTGTGTTATAAAGAAAATATTTATTTGTTGTAATACAAACAGTAATTTGAATGAACAACCTCTGATCAAAGATGGATAACAATGGCACGTGAATATACTACGCCAAATTTATTATTCAATTATCCGAAATGTTACTTCACTAAAGTTTACCCGATAGAATGACCCCAAAACTTTAGCAACGAACTGTTGTGCAAAAAGCATAAACCTATCTTTCTTCACTTCTCACATTCTTTACCAATATTTTCCTTTTTTTCACAAATTCCGACTTTAATAATTTTTTTTTAAGGGTTTTAATAAACCTTTCCTATCTTTTGTCTATTAATTCTACCATATTATTTTTTTTAAATTTTTAATATAATTCTATTCAAGTATAAAGGATTGTATTGAGCTAATAGATAAATTTTTACAATATTATACCTAAAATAAAAAAAAAATTTAAACGTGCATATTAGTTAAAATGTCCAAGGCTGCGTTTTTAAGAGAATATAAACTCGTAGTCGTGGGTGGTGGTGGTACGTTATTCAAGATCGCATTTGTTCTACCGATTTTATTTCTTATAGTCGATTGTTCAATCCTGGCGAGAAAAGTTACACCTGCTAGTTAGATGAAGAGCGTTTGACCTTCCTCTTTCCAAGTTGTTGTGTTTCCTCGCCATAAAAATAACCACTTTGACCTTTTTTTTTTTGTGATTTTACTCTTAATTCAGTGTGTTAATGATTCTCCTCTCCTTTTTTTTTTATTTTCTCTTGCTACACAGGTGTTGGTAAATCTGCTCTTACAATCCAGTTCATTCAATCGCATTTTGTTGACGAATATGATCCTACCATTGAAGGTATTGTTTCTGATATGATGAACGACGTAAAAAAATAATAATAACATCAATAAAATAATCGTTACTAGATTGAATAAATAATAAATATATAAATATATATATATAAGAAAAGGAGTTAGATGTAAAAACTAGGGTTGTGGATTGCGTGAACATTAGCTTGATCGTAGACATAATATGTGAATTCTAACAAATATTAACACATTTAACTTTGATTATTCAACATATAGACTCGTACCGTAAACAATGTGTGATTGATGACGAAGTAGCCCTGCTAGACGTGTTGGATACTGCTGGACAAGAAGAATACAGGTACGTCAATGTTTTTTTTTTTTTTTTTAGGGTTCATATTACAAAGAGTAACATTTACAAATATTTTGTTATTAAAAATTTTAGCGCCATGCGGGAGCAATATATGCGTACCGGTGAAGGATTTCTTCTTGTATATTCAATCACTTCTCGTAACTCATTTGAGGAAATTTCAACTTTTCATCAACAAATTCTCCGAGTAAAAGACAAGGACTATTTCCCTGTAATTGTAGTCGCAAACAAATGTGATTTAGAGATGGAACGACAAGTTTCAGGACATGGTATGTAAAAATAATTTAATTATTATTATTAATTTTTTTTTTTTTTTTTTTGCAAGTTGAAATTTTTTTAAATATATTCAATTTTGATGTTTTGAAAACAGAGGGTCGGGAACTCGCAAAGTCGTTTGGTTGTCGATTCATTGAGACATCCGCCAAACAACGTATTAATGTTGACGAAGCCTTTTATAATCTCGTTCGTGAAATTCGACGATACAACAAAGAACAACAATATGGGAACCGACCTTCGAATGGACCAGGAAATAACGAATTTACTGATGGAACAGATGAAAATGGTGGTTGTTGTTGTGTGGTTATGTAAAAAATTAATAAATATATACTATATAAACCCCCAAAAATTATATAAAAAAAAGAAATCCTTTTCCATTTCTATATATATATCCGCATAGCGATTTCTTGTATCATTTCACCAGAAAAGAAGGATAAGGTGATGATGATCATCTTTTTTTTTTCTTCTCGGTGTATCATTTACTACTTACTACTACTACTACTATTATTATTATTTTATTTAGAACCGTTCACTTTTAATGAACATATCATTTTGGGCATGTCCTAAATTTGTATCTCTAGTCCTTTTTTTTATCATTCCCTTCCTTTAAATTATTATTTTTTTTTTTTCCTTTTGCAATTCAAAAGTTCGAGTCTCACTATATGTTTAAGTATGGGCAATTTCATGCTCAGCAAAAATATAAATATGGATTCATTGCATAAATACGGTATGAAGATCAAACTGTTTTTTTTTTTTCTTTGTTTTCACCTCGATTCTTGGGAATTGGGTTGTTGTACACACATGGACTCTAAAGAAGCCAAATTTAACTTAATTTGAACGAAAAAATGAAATTTTGGGAAACCAAGATATTTATTTATGAGTTAGTCTTCATTTACTTATTCAATTGGTATCATACTTTAATTTAGTAATGTATTTTTATTTTTGTTTATATCTCTCAAAAAACCATGTTTTTGTGATGGTGAAAAAAAAAAATCATGTAATTTTTTTTAATTCTCAAACATCTATTTTTTTTTTTTATAAAAAAAAAAAACAGTTTTGAAGGATTTAAACACACTCTACATATATCATTTAAATTAATCTAGTTAAAAAGTTATCATTTCAAACTTGAATTAGCTCAATAATAAAAAAATAAATCTCTTTTTAATAAATTAATAATTAATAAAAGTTTAACATCTACGCCTTTTAACAAGGACTTTGATTTTGAAAATTTAAATTGTCCACGTGAATGCCGATGTTGTCTTTGAACTCATCCAAGAATCTGTATTTTAAAGGAATTAAATATTATTTTTTTTCCACATTTAAACATCTGATAATGTCTATCACGCGTTCAGCTCAAGTCACGTGAATAAGGAGTGACTCTGTATGTAATTTTTTTTTTTTCGCGAAAATTTCACGCGAAATCAACTCACAGTATTTGTATTAATTATATCTGCTTTTGGGAATTGTACTTGCTTATGACGACGACTCTAGACTTGATGTCATATTCTTGAATAATGATACAATGATGATATATTCCATTTTAAGTATGAATTGGTCGGTTTTCTCTTCGTGTTTATAAATATCTAAACAAAAGAGTCCAAGTTTCGAACGAAATCATCTGATGGTTTCCGGAACCATTTCGCCAACCTACTGAAACCCCCCCCCCCCCCCCCCCCCGAGAACGAACCCGAGAATTTTTTACCCTAAACAATAAAATGGTTGTACAAAAGATCACAAACAACAAAAGGTGCGTAAAAATAAGGGTCGTGTTTGATGTTTTTTGATGTTTGTAATTAGATAGCGTAGCGTTTGTTAAAAATAGATCTTCGACGCGATGTGATGATGGCGCGATGTGACACGTAATCGATAAAAACAATAACAAACATTGTATTACAATGATTTCCATAAAAGTATCGTATACGCCCAAAATACGCGCACCTGATTAAATCACGCTACTTATTGAAGATTAGCACATATAAACAGCGCCCCACTTGAGGCGTTCCCAACTTTTCTTCATTTTTTCACATCCCAAAAAATTTTCTCTAGAAATATTTGTTTTTTTTTTTCCTTTGAAAAAAAAATTAACCCTTTACATACTTCTTTTTCATTTAACAAAAACTTTAACAAAAAACAATGGCAAAAGGTAGCTCAAGTCCCGCTAAAACAAAGAAGTCAGCAGCCGCTCCTGCTCATCCCAAATATGAAGATATGATTCGAGGTAGCTTTATGGAACTCGTTCTGTTTTTTGGGGGGATTTTTTTTTTTTTTTTGTTATTTTTAGAAAGAGAACCGACGAAACACTTTAATTTTCTCTTGACGAGTAAAAAAAAAAAAAAATTATAATAATGATATATATTCAACTTCGAGAAACTTTTAAAAATTTACAATTTTCCCACACTATGTTGATAATTTACAGATGCTATTGTCGCTTTGAAGGAACGTAAAGGAAGCAGGTTAGGAAACTTTTCTCGAGTTTCATACATCAAAGATTTTATTGCGACGCGTTTATTCTTTTTTCTTTTACTGATAAATTTTTTTTCACCCAATTTTTTTCATTTGTTATTAATAAGCCGTCAAGCTATCAAGAAATACATCTTGACCACATACAAACTTCCCGACAACTCCACAACAAACAACCGTCTCCGATTGGCTATCAATAGAGGGGTCGAAAAGGGAATTTTCTCTTTTCCCAATGGTAAACACAATTATTGATTTCTTTCTTAATTATATTATTTTCTTTAATTTTTACATCAACGCCTCTGATTCATCAAATCAATTCTATAAATTTCAATATATATTTTTAAAGGTCCAAGCGGTACTATCAAACTTGTAAAGAAAGAAGCGGTTAAGAAGGAAAAGAAAGAACCCGAGAAGAAGGAAAAACCCAAGAAGGTTGAAAAGAAGGAAACCAAACCAAAAGTTGAAAAAGTAACCAAAGTAATTTAAATTTATGTTTATTTATTAATGGATGATCGTGATGTATATGATGTTAAAATCTGTTGAGAAAAATTATCTTAATAATCTGGTTCACTTTTATTTCTTTTATAGAAGACGACAACCAGAAAAGCGCCCGTTAGAAAGGCAGCAGCCGCCTCGACTAAAAAAGCGGCAGCCAAACCAAAGAAAGCCACGACCACCTCTTCAAAAAGAGGCAAAGCTTCCACAACCAAGAAAGTTGCGGAAAAGAAAACTGGAACCAGAAGGAGGGCAGCTGCATCATCTTAAATTCTTAGACTTTTTTTTTCTCTTTTCTCTAGTGAACTTTAATTGAATGAATGAGAAAATATATATATTTCCCCTTTTTTTTCTTTCGTGATAATCTATTTTTTTTTTCGTTATTCATGAATGACATTGGTAGGAAGGAACAAGCTATAACGTTTTCTTATTTTAATAATCTCATATTTTTCTCACAAAGTTAAAGTCTATTCAATAATTTTTATATATATATTTTATCGGGCTTTAATAATCTATTTTTTTTTTTTTATATATATATAACATTTGAAATTTTCTTCCTTTCATTTTCTTTTACTCAAACAACCCGTGTAAATAAAATGAGCTCATATCGCTAGGAATACCTTGCTTTAAAAAATTATTAACGAGATCTTTGATATTTCTATTGATAAAAAGTTATCATGTGTTATTATGTATGAAAGTATGTTTACTTCATTACTAAATTCGCATATAAAATAAATACTTCATAATGAAAAAGTGACATTATTATTAAATAAATGTATGTGGTCCATCAGATATACCTTTTGCACACTTTGCATAGATTCGTAGATAGTAAATGGCTTTCATTTTTTCAATGAAACCAAAAGGTTGTTAATTTCAATATATGCAAGATTATAGATAAATGCACCTGTTATGTACAATACAATTAACAGTTAGGAATTTTTTTTTTTTTTTAATACGATTTTTTGATGTTTGTTCCATTTTGGTAAGTATTGAAAAAAATTTTGAAACATTTTTTCTTTCTCCTTAAAACAATTTTGAAAAAAAAATTTTTTTTTTTTTTATATATATTATTTATTATTTAAAATATTTCTATATTTATCTATTTTTAAATCCTTTTTTGATGATGATGATCGATGATGAAGATAAAATGCAATAAGAGAGAGAGTATGAGTATCATTACAAAAAAAAAAAAAAATTAATGAGAACATTTATTCATCACTCGCATCTCTTTTTTCTTATTTATCACGCCTATTCAAGAAAAAGAGGGTCATCACGTATTTTCACCGTTTATGTAATAAAATGCATGATTTTTTTTTTTGTTCAATATAAATAAATTCGTGACGCAGCAACTTGGTCTTGACAAAAAAAAATTCGCCAGTCGCGAAATATATATTTGTTTGTTTGTTTAATTATTTCCTGTGGATCTCATTTACTAAATTAATTAAATTAGATTAATTAAATTTTTTTTTAAAGAAAGCAAAAAGGAAAAAAAAAAAAAAAAAAAAAAAAAAAAAAAAGGAAAAAGAAACCAAATTAATCCCATCCCATCACTTTCAAAAAAAAAAAAACAATCATGCAGTGAATGTTCATTACACGATTACCTTAATTATGAAAATCCCAAATAGATCATTCATTTCAAATCGTTAAAAAAATCAATTTATTTTTTATTTATTTATTTATTTTTTTTTTTTGACCTGTTATGCCAGAACTTTTTTGCACGAAAGGTAATTTATACTCTTTCATGATGTGAAAGTCAAAAAGAATCTTTAATGCATTGCATTAAAATTGATTTTTTTTTTTTTTTTGATCTACCATCACATAATTACACATTTTCCTATTCCAACAATTTTTTCTTTACCCCACATTTTACCAAATATAACCATAAACGCCAACCGTTTTTTATAAAGGAAAAAATTTTTTCCTGAAACTTAAATTTTTTTTTATTTTTTGGTTTTTTTTTAAAAAAAATAGAGGAAAAAAAAAACAAACTATTTGCAAACAAAAAGAAATGAAAAAAAAAAAATTTTTTTTTTGTTACTATAAAGAAAAGGAACCGAAAAAACCCGTAAAAAATCAAAGATAAAAATAAAAGAAAGAGGAAAGAGAAAAAATATATAAACAAAAAGAAAAAAAGAGAATCTCAACTGAATAAAAAGTATATATATGAACCAACAGAAAAGATTCAAAGGTAAAAAAAAATTACAAAGAAGTTAATTTAATAATTTTCGAGACCAATCTTTTAGTAAAGAAAATAAAACTAAGAATAATTTTTAACGGTGACCACAATTTTTTTTGCTAAATCCCCCATAGAACTAGAGGGAATGAGAAAAAGGGCTTAGTTTCAATCATTAATAGATGATACAATGTCTCATTGAGCTCTTAACTGTGTTGAATATAAGAAATAAAAAATCAGTTAAAAAAGAAATCATAGCAACGTAAAAAGGAAAAAAGGTTAAAAAAAATAAAAAAAAAAAAAAACTAAATATATATATTGAAGATAATTTGATAATAAAAGGATATATAATATGTACGCTTTTTTTGGATTTTGATTTTTTTTGTTTTTGATAAAGATAATGGTAGAGGGATATGTCGTTAGAAAATGGAGTATATATATATATATAGAGGATAATGATGAAAATAATAGGATGATATTTTTTTTTTGTTTTTTTTTTTTGTTTTAGTTATTCGTTTATATTGGTAACAGGAAATGCAAGAGGAGAATAAGACAAGAGATTGAGGGCGTGTGAAAAAAATATGTAAAAAGAAAAAAAAAATGTACAACAAACGCGAATATCGGAATGGTAGTGTACCATCGATAAAGTGTTTGCTATCTGCCAGTCTATTTAAACAAGAGAAAATGGAAGAAAAAAATTTACAAAGTTGGCAGTCTATGTTGTCCGAGATTACAAAAGAACCGTAAATATCGATAATGATGCTTGCAGTTCGTTTGAATCTCGAAACTCTATGATATTTAAGTCTATAGGAAAAAAATAAATGCAGATGTTCTATGTATATATATATATATATAAGAAGAATGTTGATTATAAACACAATGAAACGAGAATATATATATTGGGAGAGGAGGGTAAAAAAGTTAAATAATACAAGGAATATATATAATAAACAGAAAAAAAAAAAAAAAAAACTTCAAGAAATGCTTTTTGTTTAAGTGTCCAAGGACCTTTTACAAAGGTCAAGGCCGAACCTTTGGCCCGCACAATTATTCAGTTATAATTTTTTTTAGTTTACATGAGCAATACCAGACTCAGTCTTTGAAAACTCTGTTAAAATAATTTTTTTTTTTAAAAAAAAAAAGAAACAATGTATAAGTATTTTGAACAGGTTCCTCTCACGTACAACAAAGGAAAATCATTCCATTAATAACCCTTGTAACATCATTTCTTGCTGTTTGAGGCCATGTTGAAAATCAGCCAAAAGTTGCTGAGAATTACGACGCGGATTCTCGAGAGCAAACGCGTAATGTCCAGATAAGGTTGATTGATTTCCTTGTGAAGAAAGCTCGAAAGATGAACTATATACATGACTAGGATAAGAAGGTTCGGTACTGTCATAATCATGGAAAAACCCTTCTGATTCTTGAACGGGAGAAGCTGAATAATGACCCATTGCCATTAAATCATAATCTGTGGAGGAAATTTCAACTGACTGAGGAGGATTAAAAAAAGAAGGAACAGCTGTGTTGCTCTTAATCATGGGATTTTCATACGAGTCTAGAACGAACCCGTCGTCAACAGGCAAGGAAGCATTAATATCCAATTGATTTGAATATAAACTATTGAGCTGTTCAACTTCATTATTTAACATTGACTGAGAGGCCAAATTTTGAGACAACATCAAGTCGCTATGTGGTAGACCTTCATTATGTACAATGTTTCCTGCTTCATATCTCAAGGCTGAAGATGATCTTCCGAATTGATTGCCAAATTGAAAGGTTGGTGGTGACAACGAAGCGGGGGAGCCAACAAAAGGTGAAAGCAATGGAGTCGAAGCTGTGGAATCACTTGTCCAAGAACTGACAGAATCGACGGAAGAGGCACGATAATGTCCAAAAAAGGTCTTTTTCTGTAAGTGAGTCAAGTAGATGTCATCCTGCTCTTCACTACCTTCCAAACCTAATTGGTGATTATTTTCACCCAAAATTTCGGAACCATAGCCATCGGCAAAAATGATCTTTGCGTCAGAATTTGATTTCTTATTGTTATTACGTACACCGGTAGCTTTTGTTGACGTCTTCGTATTAGCGGTGGTCTTTAAGTTTTGCTTCTTCTTTTGTGGTTTGAACTTGTAATCAGGATATTTGAGTTTATGTTCAATCTTCAATTGCTTAGCGCGTTCACGCCAATATTCTTTAACGTCTTCAGGTTCATTATTCCACATATTTGCAGCAAGCACTGACACAACCTTATTGTTCATACTTGGGTCTTCCGACAAGAACTTTTCTTTTATATGCTCACGATAGGCCATGAAACAATTTTTTGGTCGTGGAATATAATTCTTATCAGCCTTGCGCTTCCGATAGGCGGAAAGACGCGTTGTGGTTGTCGCGGCGTTTGCAGCAGCAGCCGATGCTTTCGCGTTAGTGGAACTAGGTGATTTACTCTTTGGAATATCCATTGGTTTGGTTTTAGAACATGATGTTGGTTCTACGGGAGATTCAACAGGAGAATCGACACCAGAAGAACAAGAATTATCTGAAGGTTCAACTTTCATTGGAACTAAAACCACGTCATAACCGCGGGGCACGTGATAAACGTTATAGTCTTGGTCAGAAACCGAATTTGACGGAGAAGATACGTCTGAAGGTGATGAAGGCGACCACATGGCAGCATTTTCTTCTTGTTTGAAATACTCTTGGTTGGTAGTATTTGGGTTCATTGTGTGTGTATATGGCTATTAATGGATAATAAAAAAAAAAAAATTCATTATGTTTAAAAGAACGTCAATATCGAGTAAATTTCTCACGGGAAAGTTGAAGTATCAACTACCAAGAGTGATAAATATGATTTAAGCTATTTTAGGGAAGAACTTACTATTTATATATCCTTTTAGTTTAGTAAATATGTTTGTCTTTCTTTTAAAAAAGAAAGTAGTTGTTTATGTCTCTAATATATTTATCTGTCCTATGATAACAAAAAAGAAAAAAAAAGAAAAAAAGAAAAAAATAAGACTGTTGGGACAAACAAAAATTTTTTGTGCGCAACAAAGTCAAGTTTTATTTATAAAAACGAATAGAGGTCAAAAAAAAGTTTATAAAAATTTTAACGTTGATTGCTCTCAGAGCAAACGACGAATATATATATAATTAGGTATATATATATATATAAAAAAAAAAAAAAGTCTATTTAGTGAAAAGTGATTGGAAAAGATTTTTTATGGGTGAAGAAAGGAAGAAAAGGAGAAGAGAAAGAGAGCGGGTCAGGGAAAAATAGTGGGGTAATATATAATAAAATAAGGGACCCAAGCATATGCTAGAAAAAGAGGGTAGGTGCGATGTTTGATAATGCGATGATTGGACCAAATCAGGTAAGTGTAAGTTAGTATGTGTGAACTTTTAATATATTATATATTTTGAATTGTATGATAAGAGTTATATTCTGAGTTACCATAATAAACATGAGTGTTGCTAATAAAAATCAAAAGTGAATTACCTTCTTAACTGAAACATATACTTTCAAACGAACCTCTCATAGTCATTATTGTATATTACTGAGTACAAATATAAATATTTGGCAAATATTTTATTCAAAATATATTTGTTATTGTAAAACTATTCGCAATAATCACCAATTATTTTTTTTCCCCACAGGTCCACAGGTCCGCAGTTCCGCGACGAATGTTTGACCACATTCTGTTTATACAACTTATGGAATTATGGTTAATTAAACTTCGATGGAATTGAGTTTGAAGAGGGAGAGATAACAAGTCGTAATGGTAATAAAAGAATTTTGTTTTCTTACAACTGTTAGAGATGATTATCTCTTAAACCCAATTTGTAACCGTACAAAAAAGTGAGCTGAGAATTTCTTGCAGAATGTGTTCGAGTTCGAATTCACATGCACATGATAATTAATTTTCTCATTGGTAACCGACAATTAATTTCAAAATATCAAAAGAGTAACATCTGTTACATCTCAAAACGAAAACAGAAAATATAAAATAAAACCAATCAAACAAATTATAAAACATTTCATTTCTTCTTTTTTTTTTACTATGAAAAAGTCACACCGAAGGATTGGTTTGTGGTTTGTCCTTGTTTTTCCCAATTTGGTTAACAGTCATTGACCAAAGTGACAACTCCAAAAAAAAAAAGTGGTGAAAATTGAGGACATTTTCTTAGTACCATTTGTTTTACTTTTATGGTAATTTTAACACAACATGATCGATAGAGTGACGTTACAAATGGAAACATACGGAACAGCCGCGAAACATGTATAATTGAATCATATATGTAATATTTAATGTACACAGACAAGTAAAAATATCACTTCCTATCAATAGGGTATTTTGTCATCAATTGCACATGGGGTGAGAAATGAAAGATGTATGAATTATTGCGAAAATGGGAAAAATGTTATATTGCCTTAAGCTTCACTTATGCATTTTTTTTTAACTGTATGTACACAACATAAACTAGCAGTTCAATGAACAATATAGATAATTATTAGCTTTATGTTGAACGCTGCAGTTAATAATGAATCTGTCAGAAGCATCACACGAGTATCTCACGTTATCACTTCTTCAAAAGCGTTACCGGTAAACCTGAAATTCTAATCATCCTCCTTTTATTTGGAATAATTTGATTTCTTGTTATATTATCATTATTAGTTAATGTGATTACGAAACCCTGATATCTGTGCATTTTTTTTTATGCAACCTGCTGTTCATCTTGGCACAAAAAAATTTTAAAAAAAAAAAATAATTTCCCGATTATAATATTCGGCTGATTTTTAAAATCAAGTGTTTTACATCGTGACGTGGTGTCGCGAAATACAGCAGAAATGTTTGGCGTTATTATTTGTACTCTTTAAGTGGCGGATTGTTGTACCAAAAAATCTTTTTTTTTTTTTTTTTTTTTTTTTTTTTATATTATGTCCATCGGAAAAATCGGCGCAGCAAATCATCTTTTCCCAAAAACGATCAGCTCCCTATGTGCACTCCATTGTCTTGCTTCATGTTAATAGATTATCATTTAATGTACAGTATCGTGATTCAAAATTCAGTTGATAATAGAAATATTTACAAGGGATTTTGTCTTTAACCAATCCTTGCATATAATCTATGCTTAACCTCACAGACATTAATAAAACTTTATATATATTACATTGATTTTTTTTTTTTTTTTTTTAGGTATTAATTTCCTTTCAATTGTCAGCAGCCTTTAAAACATCATGGATGCACGTGGATCTGAGTTTCTTTTAAAAAGATTATCACTGAATTTTTTTTTTAAAAAAAATATATATAATGTATGGTATTACAATGTCAAAAGTGTCGGACTTTGAGTTTTACTGCTTGGCGCAGCTCGTAACTTTCGTTCAACAAAAACTCTTTGATTCCTGCTTAATTAGTTACTTGTATCCTTTTTACATTAGTAAACTAATCCTTCCGGATTAACGCGAAATTCGATTCGTGATTTCACCTAGAGATGGTCAAGCACGAGAACATTGTCACACAAATACCATCAACAATGGTCAAAAATTCTATTTTAATTGTTCGAAAACTAGTATAAATCTAGATGTTAGTGTAATATTACTAGTTTAACAAAAATGCATCTACTTCTTCACAACCTAATATTTTCAAGGAACTCCAAAAAAAAAAAAAAAAAAAAAAAAAAAAACTTTTTTTTAGAATCTTCATTTATCAAAAGTTATTCCGTCATCTGCAACATGATTGTGTGTTACAACCTCATTGTCTTGACAAATGATTTTCAAATAAATTACATTTTATATCTAATAATATCGATTGGTCAATTAAAATTTTATTCATTTCAAAATAAATTTGTCTAATTTTAGGTTTATTACTGAACTTACTGAGTTGACTTTTATTATATTGCCAAAATAAAAAAAAAATTATATCAAATGTTATTTTTTAATACAATTTAAACGAAATCTTTAAAATTTAATAGTTATAATGTGTTAAAGAAAAATTTTAAAATTTATATTCAATTCTATTAAATTAATAAATTAATAAAATTAATTACTCTTTAACTTTTAAAATTTATTCTTATAACTTATTTAAGTTTTATTTTTTTATTTATAATTTTTTACTTTCTTCTTTTACATCAGTTTATTTTTGTTTTTAATACAAACCTTTGTTATAAATAAAGTTAATATTTTCTAATTTATTAATAAAAAAATTTAGTAAACTTAATTAGTTAATCATTGTATAAAGACAAAATGATGTTATTTAATTTTTTAAGATATTTAGATTCTTTATCTTATATATATATATATACAGTATAAATTTACTATAAATCAATTTTATCTATTAAAATAATTAAATATTAAAAATTTATATGATAAAAAATAAAAAATTTTATTACAACTTAATTTTAATATTATAATCATTAAATTTATAAATAAAATAATAATATTTTATATTTAAGTAAGAATAATTTTAATAGAATAATTAAAGATTTTAAGAGGGTTTATAAATTTTAATAAAAAAATTATATTTTAATTTATCTTATAATTAATTTTTAATATATACTAAAAATAAAAATTACATAAAGTTCAGAATTTTTATAAGTTTTATACTGATTAAAATGGTAAAGATATTTTTTATTTTATAATAAAAGTTATTATTCTAGCAATTAAACTGATAAACTTAAATATCAAATTAGCAAAACTTGAATATCTTAAATTATATTATATAAAAATTATACCTTAAACTAATTATTAAAAAAGATAAATAAAATATAATATTTTAAAATTTTACTTTTTTTTATTATTTTTTATTATAATAAATTACTATAAACAATTTATTTACTATTTTTCATAAATATATTATCTATTATATTTTTTAATATCATATAAAAACAATTTTAATATTAATATTATAATATAAACTAAATATTAAATTATATATATAATATAAAGAAAAAATTTTATAAAAATTTTTTTAAGATAATATTAAATATAAACCTATTATAATAAAAAAAAATCAAACTTAATTTATAAAATAAATTCTTTTTTTTTAGTAATTTCTTTTTTTTTCTGCAAAAAATCTATAATAACTAATTTAAAGAATTTTAAATATTAAATATAATATAATAATTAATTAAAGAAAATTTGTATTTTATATATATTACATATAATGCAACCTTTATATTTATAAATGTTGAAGTGTAATTAGGGTTAGGTTAGAATTAGGATTATTTATTATAATACATAACAAACTTATATGTTTTATTTTTATAGTTTATTCTAAAAACTTAAAAATTTTTTTATAAAACAATTTTATTTGTTATCTATTATATAATATACTTTACATTATGTATAGGTATATAAAAAATAAAAAATTTAATTAAAAATCTAAAATATTAGTACTTTTATATATATTTATTTTTAACATAATATAAAATATCTGAATTAATCAGAAATTAGAATTATCTTTATTTGAATTTATTTACATTATTAAAAATTGTAAATAAATTTATTTATTTTCTAAATAATATATTAATAATTTTATTAATTTTATAATATATATTAAATTAATATAAAAATAATTATATTAAGATTATTTAAATATAAAAATAATAGTAATTTTTATATATATGAAATATTTTAATAAATTAAATAAAATTTTTAATTAATTTTATTTTAAATTTTTTCTTTAAAGATTTTTTTTTAAATATAAATTTATAAATAAAAGTTAAATTTTACTATAATTTTATTTAACAAAATTTAATAACAAATAACATTATCAAAATTTATTAAAAATTTTATATAATATTCTCTTTTAATTAAATATTATTATATATATTACTTTTTATTTTTTTTTATTTAATTTAATTAGTTAATAATAATTAAAATTTATGATATTTTATGTATATAAGTTTAAAAATTAGAATTAGTTATAAAAATAATTATATTTATAAATTAAATTAGAATCTAAAAAATAGGATTCATAATTAAATTATTTGAAGTTTTATATTAGTATAAAAAGTACTATTACATCAATTTCTATTCAATTAATATAAAAATTAAGATAATAATTCTTTAGTTATAATATTATAAAATTTTTTAATTTCAACTATTTTCTAATATTTATTATATTAATAATAAATAACATTTTTAATAAAATAATACACTAACCTATTGCTATAATATAAAATTTATCAATTTTTATAATAAATAATATTCTGTAATTAGTTGATATATTAACTTTTCTAATTTAAATTTAATCAAAAATTTGTAAGTAATTCTTAAAAAAAATGTAAAAAAAAAATTAATGATTAAATTAAGAGAAAAGATATACTTAATACAAATATTTTTTAAGGTATAATTTGAAGAAAATAAAAAAATTATCTTCAATTTAGCTAATGATATGATAAATTAAATTAGTATAGTTATAAAAATAAAGATATTCAATTTATTTATTTATTATAAATTATTAATAATATAAATTAAAAATAATATTTATAATACTTTTATATGTCATAATAAATTTTAGATATTTATTTCACAAACTATAATTATATAAAATGAATTATAATTAAAGAATTTTTAATAAATTAATATTTTTTATTATTATTAAATAGAAAATTAATAATATAAAATATAATAAAAGAACTTTTATTGATTTTATTATATATTATTTAATTTAAAAATAAATTTAATAATTCTCATTATTTAAATTTTATTTATTGTTTCTAGTAAAAATGTTAGAAAGTTTTTTTTGAATAATAAAAGTTTTTAATAAATAACTTTTAAAAACTTTTTTATTTTCAAATGTTTTTGATTAAGGAATTATACATTTAAAAAATTAAAATATAATTATATTTTCTCTGTTAATCTAAATTTAAATACACTAAAAATCTAAGAAATTAATCTTTTTTTATATTAATTTAATTTCATACTTTCTATTTCTATTTCTTTAATTAAAATATATTATCTTTATAATAAAATTTTTAGTTAAACATTTTTTATTAGTAGATGAAGCTTGTTAATATAGTAAAATTTTTGTAATCTTAATTTTAATAATCACTTAAATTTGATCTTATGTTATAATTGCAAAAATTTTATTTATATGAAATATGTATTGCAAATTTCAAATAATATATATAGTATTCAAACTAGTAATATATATAAAATACTATATAATTATTTATTTAAATCCTTTTATAAAATGTTAATTATATAATAAAAGATTGTTTTGCTATTTTTTTTCACTAGAAACTGTATTTTTATATACCATAATATTATTTTAAAACATATTAATATAATAATAAAACTTAAAATTTAATATTTCATAAAATAATAAAAATATATATTAAATAATAAAATAATTAATATTTTAAGAAAAAATAAGTTATTTTATTTTTAATAATTATTATATAATATATAGTTATATAGTTTTTATAAAAAAAATAAAATTTTTGGTTAAAAAAATTAATATATAAATTATTATTTAAATATATAATTAAATAAAAAATAAAAATTTATTAAAAAAATTTATTTAATTACTTAATGTAAAAAAATTATAAAAATAAATAATAATTATAATAAATAAATAATTTAATTATATTAATTATATAGTTTTGCTATTTATTACTATATAATTTTAGTGGTAAATAATTATTTATTACTAAATAACTTATTTTATTTATTTTATTAGTTCATTAAATTTTTTAAATTTTACAATTAACTTTTTAAATGTATATATTAATGAATTCTATAAGAAATATTATTATAATTACTATAAAAATAAGAACAATTACATAAATTATAATCAGAAGTTTTTTACAATTTTGATATTACTTTCATAACCTTTTATTTTAATTATTTTTCTTTAATATCTTAACAGCTGATTTAATTCTTATATGTTTAGAAGATCTATCTTTCATATGATTATTAATAAGTGATTATTAATTTAAATTAGAAGTTTGAATTTAGAATTCATGTTTTTTTTAGTTAATATAGTATTAAGTTGAGTTTATTTAAATTGTTCTTTTATAATTTTAATATATTGTTCTATCTATTGAGATCATCATTATCAACTGCTAATTGTATTATATGATAAGTTAATCCATAAATTTTTCAAATTTTTTTCTTTAAGATAAATATTCAAGTTATATTTTAATTATATTCTGAATTTGTTAAATATAACTAAAATTATATGTGCTTGAATTATAATTAATTTCAACATTATTGCTAATTTTATCTTTATACTATCTATTTGTAATTAAAGTTATATTAAATTTTATATTATTTGAGACTTTTAGAAATCTAAAAGTGATAATCTATGAGAAATTATATATAAATAGGTACAAAGATAAAATCTATCTTTTAGAATTGTAATAAAGTTATATGATTTATTTCTAAAAATGCATATTTAATTTGCTAAATTTCTAAAATAAAAAATTTAACAATATTTTCTAAAAGGCTTTTTAAATTACATTTTTTTGTTTCAATAAATGATTTTTTATAATTATTTGAAATTTCAGAGTAATCTTTAAGTAGTTATATATTATATATAAAAATATCTTTAATTTATTGATAAAGCATAATGTAAATTTCTGAAAAAAAATATTTGGCAAATTCTATTTCAATGTTTGAAAAGAATTTTATTATCAAAATTAAAGAATTATTATATTAAATATCATTTTAAGCTGTAAATTCATCTTTAAAATTCTTCATTTTGATTTTTTTTTCTATATCATAAAATAATTCACATAAAATACTATAATAATTTATCAAATATTTGAGTATATTATTCATTTTTTCTATTTATTAGATTAATTGTATTTTAGCATTAAAGATATGATTAATAAAGTATTTTACCTAAAAATAATATAAAGGATAAAAATTATTATAAATATATAGTTAAGTAACAGAATATTTACATAATAATACCTCATATCTGATATAAAATTCTTATTTATCTAATATATTTTATACTTTATCAATTTTATAATAAAGTTTGAATATTCAGATTGGAGTTTTGGACAAATATTTTCTTTAAATTTTGTTTAATATAAAAAATATATGAAGTTAGTTATGAATCTGAAAATTGAATCTTTATTGTATTATAAAATGTAATATCAGTATCTGTTATCAACAGAGCAATTAACTAGTCATAATGAAGTCACGTGAATGATGCAGTATAATGATCTCTTAATTCAGAATTCTGAAAATACTGGGAATTTTGCAAATTCTGAAAATACGGAGGATCTACGTAATTCTGAAGATCTTCTAAATACTGATAATAATCATAATTTTACGAATTAAATGAAGTCTAAGAATATTTGGTGTTATACGTATTTTTAATATTCTAAATTTTATTATTATTTTTATTTTATTTTATATTTTTATTATTTTACGTATTCTCAATGTATTTATTTTACTTATAGTTTATTTTGCTAAATTAGTTAGTTTATAGCATAGTAATTAGTTAGCTGTGACGAAAGAAATTTTGTATAAATAGATAGACTTTTTGCTTATGTTGTAAATAAACTCTTTTGCAGATTTGTAAACTCTTTTGTGAATACGAATTTCAATATTAATAAAGGAATCAATTTAAAACCTATATCTTTTTGCCTCTTCATGTCTTCATATAGTCCAACGTGATCCCTACACATTATTTGTAATTGAGTTCATCATCTGAATTCTTTAATTAAAATTGTTCATAATATCATCTTTCAAGTCTTCATACTTGATAGATTCGTTTAAGTTCAACGCGTAAACTTAGTAAAGTTAAGAGTTAGGTGAATTCTAACATCTTAACTGCAGTAAGCTGTAGTTAAGAAGTTTTGAGTAGAGATTTGATAACATGACCACCTTGAGTTGAAGAATTTCACGGTGACACTGTAAATATAATTTGTAGTAAAACACTAGATGTAATTTTTTTTATGCAAAACATAATCTAATTAAAGGATTCTTTATATTTATTACAGTCAGGGAATATACCAAATATATCTAAATGATCATTTCTTATTATAGTAATAAATTTGCTATTTAAAATATTCTAGATTACTCAAAAAATGATTGGTTAAAAATTAAAAATTAAAATATTCTAGATTACTCAAAAAATGATTGGTTAAAAATTAAAAATTAAAATTTATTATTAACTCAAAATTCTGATAATTTATTTACAATAAATGCAATAAAAAAATAGATTAAGAAAATATCCTATTATTTAAATACGTATTTTGTAAATATATTTATAATAAATAGTACATATATTAAAAATATAAAAATTGAAGTTAAATGGTTGAAGAAATTGATATCAAAAATAAATGCTTGAGAAATAAACATTAGAGAAATTGCAGTATTGCTTTCAAAGAAAATAATAAAAATAATTAGTCATTAAGTATATTATTTGTACTAATGTATGCTTTATATCTTATAGTATATTTAACAATTCACCTCATTTTTTTGATTTCAATCTGTGATATTTTTTTGAGTATTTTTACAAAGTTATTCAAGAAGGGTTTTAATTTTTAATAAAATTTCAACTTTAGACATATTTTCTTCATTTTGTTATGTATCCGCTTTCTATTTTGTAATCAGTATTAACTTAAAAAGAAAAGATGATTTTTTGTTAATAAATACTTCAATAATAAAATTTTGTTAAGCCTATTTTACTAAATATGTAAAGTTTTTTAATTGTTCACTTAATTCATGATATTCTCCTAGACTTTAACAAACAGTTCTTGCATTTATTGAATTAGTAAATTTAAAGTTTTTTAAATAAATTCAAAATCTTTGAAATCTTATAGTTGATTTTAGCTGAGTCTTTAGTCCTGATGTTTGAAGATTGTTATAACCAATTAAGTTAAATATAATGCATAATAAAAGTATTCAGAATTACGTTTTTATTTATTGTATTTTGAAAATAACTCAAAAATACTTAAAAATTTAAAATTATATATTTTATTATATAACGAAAAGAAAATATTAAGCTAAGTCAATATCTTAGCTTATTGCCATTCCCCTCAATTATTTGTTCCAATTATTTTAACATGCTATAAACTAAATTAAGAAAAATGCCAAGCTTAATTCCCTCCTACACTTTTTTATAAAAATATCTATAGTAATTTGATTTTTTATTAATTATAAGATTATTAACCTCTTTTTTTAACATCTCTTCTAAAATTGATCACAAATTTTCATTCAGATTTAAATTTAGGCTATTTGATTACTAATCTAATAACCTCGAACATCATTTAAAAAGAAGTTTTTTAGTTTTTTTGATTGTATTTTTAGGGTCATTGTCTTGTTGAAAGACCCAGTACCTTCCCATTATATAATATCTAAAAATGGCTAATGTAATAATATCACATGAAAATGTTATTTAATAGATTACATATTGCAGGAGAAAATCATGATTTTTATATTAAATTTTAATTTTGGAAACTTTCGTCATGTATTGTAAAATTATTTTTAAACTCAAAAAACTTTTTGCAATTACATGCAGTAACTTTTCAATGATGATACTATAAGACAGGAAGTATTAAAGCTTTTAAAGTCTTGTTTACTTCCTTAATAATTGCATCTAATCCTTGATGTTGTTCATAAATAACTGATCTAGACATGACACAATTTTTTTCTATGGTCTCATATACTTTTAGATGAAGCTGTATCAATTAAACTTTATCAATGACCTTTATTAAGTGATAAATCAAATGTTATCTTGAGACCAAATTGGAGAAAATGATATTCTAGTAGCTCTCTTTAAGAATGAATTATTAGTTCTTATGACTTTCTGATAATTTTTTTTTTTACGTGCGATAGCTTTGCACAATCTTTATTTAAAAGTAAAGTAAAATTTTACAAAATTACAAATTACAAGATAGAGAGTACAAAAATTCATATTTAGCAAAAAACTAAATCAAAATCAACCTTGCATCATTTCAGATTAACCTACCTAAATACACTTAGAATAGATTCAACCATCTAGTACAAGAGGTATGATTACTACTGATCTAAAAATTTAACTAGTTCGTATCAAACCTAAAGGAGAAAATAAAGTATGGGAGAATACTAAATTCGTGTGGTGATAATGAAGGGAAGCCTGTGTTAGTGAAATGTAATTTTTGATCATTGAGTGAGATGTTGTTAAGGTTTTCAAAAAATTTGATATCATTATAACGATCAAGCTAGATGGATTTTATTTGTGAGAATGCATAATGGTAAGTAAAAGATAGGAGGCCATTTGTTAATTGGATGTTATTAATAAGGCTATGTGTTTTGTTAAATAGGGGAAGGGGTACAATTCCTTTGATCAAGTCAATAAAGTTAAGAGAGTCAGGTCGATCATTTAGGGACCAGATGGTTAAATCTAAGAGATTCGTAAAATCCTGAGTGTCTGAGGTTAATGTAGTGAGATATTATATGAAAAAATTTTTGGTTGAGAATATAATGTCAATGAGTTAGTATATAATTTTAGCACAAGTCCAAACGTGATTAAAAGTTTCATAAGTACACAAGCATCTAGAATAATTTCATGATTGGTTATACAGATTCAGGTGTCTTATTTTGAGGATTTTTAATATAAAGAGCAATTTAAATATGAGTCTAATTTTAAATTTGTGAATGGAAGAGACTTTGAAGGATGTATAGGAGTTGTTTTCATTGTCATTAAGAATGAAGAAAGTTTGAATTCAATTAACATCTATTGTATTGTATTTCTTGAAGTGTGAAAGTAGTTATATATTATGAAAATCGATTGATCTGAGAAGGTCTTTCACAAACAATCTAGGTGGAATAAGTACAATATCCTCATTAAAATAGAGATTATAATGATATCCTAGAAATTTATTATTTGGTGTGATTGGAGGACTATCAGCTTTTGCTAATACATCAACTATATTATTATAATGATTATTTGAGTGCGCTTTGACTTTGTGAAATTCAATGGAAATAGATTTTTCTCTGATTAACTTTATAACAAGAAACCAAATTGGGTAGAAAGAAATTTTAAAAATAGGGTTAAAGGTAGGAGAAAAGATGTAGAAATAATTCATTTTATCAAAAGATGAAATGATATTTTGTGAATCTATGAAAATGTTGACTGCAGCATTTGAAGAAGCTACATATATAGCAGATAGTACCGCTACTAGTTCTGCTAGAGAAGATGAAGGTTAAGGAAAAATAAGTGTAGCATTAAAAGAAAGTAGAAGTGTTGAAAGATCAGATTGCAGCCAGGTCACACTCATACAGATTGAAGAAGTATCTAAGTTTAAAATGACTTTTGAAATTATCTAAACTATTAAGGATTTTTATATTAAATAATTGATCAGCTGTAAAATACAGAGGGAACAAAATAGGGGAACAATAAGTGCACTATTATCCATTAAGTGATAACTATGTAAAGCAATTTCATAAAGTATGTAAGGGGACAAAGAACAGGTATGACCAATAGTTAGAAGAAGAAAAGCTTTGATGTCAGTACACAGGTGTAAAGGAAGAATCACAAAGCAAGCTTTATGTTTATTTCTCATATTAGAAAGAACAAAGAAAAAATCATTGTTGAGAGAACATTTAGTGCATAGTAATAATAAAGTTTGAAAGTATAGTTTGGCGATGCATTAAAATGTTGTAAGTGAACTATATCATTTTCAATTCTGAGTATCTTTCTATTATAGCAGAATGGAAGTTTAAATGCTAACTTACAGCAAAGTGTATAGTACTTTTAATATGAGTCAGAGGGATTGAGTATATATTATTAGTGTGTGGATGATGATAATATGAGGGGATGATTCTTGTGTTAGGTGATGATATAAGCAATGATTGTAATTTGAGAAACCAAGTAGGGGCCTTGGAAATTGTCAGACGAGCTGCTAAAAATTTAAGGTTAGGTAATATGAAGAGTGCTGTATCATCTAATATTATAATTTGGTCGAGAAACATAAGTTTTTTGCTTCTTAAGACTGGAGCAAATGTACGATAATCTGTTTTATTGAAAATTTCACATAGGGGAAAATGTTCTCCTTTTATACAATTATCATCAGTATTATTATTAGAAATGATGGTATTGAGTGATTTCAAGGCAGAGAGCAAAGCAAACCACCAGTCTTTGCATTTGAAGGAGTTATCATATAGCCAAAATGCTAAAGGTGATTTAATAAGCCATTTATTATTTTGAAATAATCTAGAGTAGATCAGAGATGTAGTGCCTAATAGATCTTTATCATTGATAGATTTGATGAAGTTAGAAATTTTTGTTTGGAGTTGTGCTGAATGTAGATGTGTAATGTTATAAAATAGTGATGAATGGATAATGGCTGCTGGAGTACTTTTAGATAAATGAAGGTTTGATCTAAAGATTTTTTGATACAACTCCATAATCTGATCACAGAATTTATATTCAAAAAATGTTAATTTGATGTGATACAAAATTCTTGGCAATAGAACTGAATTGAAGACTACTTTAAGTTGTTTATCTGTAAGGAATTTCTTTTTGATTGTCAAAATAGCATTATAAATTTTATTTTTTACTTGTTGCCTTATAAACTGGCAATTCAGAAGGAGAGAGATCTAAATACTGAGATAACGAGTAGATGATTTAAGGTCTATTGGTTTAATCTATTCTTCATTGTATGTTAGTCTAAAGTATACAGATGATGCAATCAGTACTGAAGAAAGTAATACAGATTTATCCCAGTTAACTAGAATACTATTAAGTTGATAAAAGTCATCAGCTATTGTTAAGATTGATTTAAGATCATCCTTAGATTTACTAATCTACAGGATATTATCCATATAGGCAAGTGTGAAGACTTGAGTTGAAACTGTGGTATCACCAATATGTGGGTGCTATTCAGCTGATAGATTATAATTAAGGTCGGTATTTTGTATGTGATATAATAAGAGATCATAATATATACACTAAAGAATTGGTGAAATAATTTCATCTTGATCAATATCTGAGATAACTGGGTAATGATCTGTATTCCTATGAGCTGTGAAAATTTGATTAAAGCGATTAGAAAATAGGAAAAGTATAAATTGGAAGAACAATGAGGAAAGGCGCAGACGATTAAACGCACGAGTTAACATTACAATGTTAACTCTATCATAAGCCTTTGACATATCTTGAAATAAGAATCCAGAGTTCTTTGTTCTTATGTGATAATTGATTATATTTTATGTTGTCGAGAATGTGAATAGGTTCAAATGTAAAATGAAACAGTAATCTAGCGAAATTGTTTCCTTGTAGAACTGAATTTTTTAAAAGAATATCCAAAAGCCATTTGTTGATTAATTTCACAATTACTTTACGAGGGTATTTTAGTAAAGTAATGGGACAAGTATTATTTAAATTATATTCCCATAGTTTGGGTTTTAAAATAGGATAGACAAAAGCTAAATTCCATTTGTCAGGCATGCAGGAAAGTTTCAGACAGGCATAAGTGAAAATCCAAAAAATGTGTTTTATTTTAGGGCCTAAATGTTTCAACATCTCATTTGAGATTTTAGAGGGACTGGAAGCTTTATTGTTAGGTAATGTTTAGAGGAGGCAGTTCCATTCATCTTCACTTGATAGATCTATAAGGTTATTATAAATTTGGGGATCAATTGTTTCAATGGGTTCATACCATTTTTTCCAGTTATCTGGAAGTGAAACAAAATGATGTCTAGTACCTGTTATTTATTAGAAGTGTCTGTTTATTTCACGTTTGACATTATCTGCAGAGATCAGTAAACCAAGATCATCAGATGAATTATCAAGGCATCTGTCTAGAACAATTGTTTGTCTTTATCTATTAAGGATAGAATCATACATTTTGGCTTGATCATTATGAAAATTATCACATCTGCGTTGGAGAGCTGCTTTAATTTATTTCATTTTATGTTTATCTTCTTCTAGTTTGATCGCAATCAGATAGACTTTAAGTAGCTTAGAGATATTCAGATTAATTGTAAGGAGGTCAGAAAGTTGAGGACTGTCAGTATGTAACTAGTTTAGATTGTATTTTATCGAAATATTAAAAACTTTTTTGTATGTTTAAGGCTAGTTTATTGATAGGAGATTAAGGCGAATGCATTTTTTTGTTGTACACTCACCTAGCAAAAATGATCGACTTTACCAAAATCAGAATAATAATACATACATTAGCGTCATAAGAAAAAAATTTTTTTTATTAATTAAATTGAC